ACGGACGCCTGGCAGATCCAAGTCTGCCAAGCCTTGGAAACTGCCCGACCCCCTCAGGCAGGCACCACGAGCTCCCGCCGAACCGGCAGCACCACTGCCCGAGGCGCAAGCAGCACCGCCGCCCGAGGCGCAAGCAGCACCACCACCCGAGGCACAAGCCGCACCACCACTTGTGCGGCTACGAGCACCAAGACCCGGCTCTAGGGCGGGCCCCACAGCTGGCGCCAGCAGCCACGACATCACAGTAGGCAGACACGCTGCTGAACCTGCTGCGGGGCAACCTGCCTCGAGTGGAGCGGGTAGCTCGGATGACCACAGATGACCACATCTGAATACCACAGGTCAGAGCCAGACGTGGTCGACAGCAGGGAGGAGATCCGCCTCCACCGCCACCTGCGGGTACCCCTGCTGCACGCCCACGATTTCCAGACTGGTCAAGGCTCGATGTACAAATCAACCTACATAACTTACGAAGCCTTGACCCAAGCGTGATAAGACGCGAGCTGCGGAACCTACACTTGCGCTGGTTCCGTGCTAAGGAACTTAAGATGAGACTCGTCTTAACCAAGGTAGGTCTGGACAACGTCAGGCTCAACCTGATCAACGGTGTCTGCGACACATGTCGGGAGTGCAGGGCATGGGACAAGCCAGGGCATGCCGTTATGCCATCCACTGCGCTACCTGGCAAGTTCAACGAAGAAGTCGAATGCGACCTTATGTTCAACAAACAGGAACACAAGATACTTCACATCATCGATTGTTGTATTTGTTATGCGACTGGAATAGAGATACCAGATAAGACAACGACCAGTATCCTAGATGCGTATTATCAGTACTGGATGCAATTCGGACCTGCCAAGGTACTCTACTCCGATGGGGAGGGTGCCCTTAACAACGACACTGCGAAGGCAGTCCTCAAGGCAAAAGGCACCGAGCTGAGGATACGAGCGCGTGGACAACGCGCTACGACGATTGAAGCCAGAAGTGGCATTTTACGTCATCTACTTCACGCTAGGGAAGCTGAACTCAAAAGGTTAGACATACCTCTTGTGTTCGCACGACTGCGCGAAACCCTGTTTGCCGCCAGTGCATTCACCTTCTTCAAGGAGGTGTTCCCATGCAATGCTTTGTTTGGGCGGCAACCGGCAATGCTCCCTGACTTGCCAGTTCTGGATCACGAACAGCCGACAGGAACGTCGGATCACTCTCGAGAACAGGTGATACGCAAGGTATGCATTGAAGCTATCACACAGGCTACTGCCGTAGCCAAGACCAACCGTGCATTACGTACTAAGTCAACTATCACCGGCCAGCACTACTACGATGTAGGAGATTTGGTTGACTATCATCGCCCCGCAACTACGAAGAACGACCGAGGAGGCTGGAAAGGCCCGTTCCCAGTTGCACGAAATGAGCCCGACAGGGGTCAAGTCATCATCCGAATGGGAAGCCGCGATGTCCAAGTCCAATATGGGGACGCACGACATTCACTGTACATCGAAGCTTTGATAGCCAGGGAAACCGGCTCCGACAACATTGCACTACGGACAGCGTTGACATTCGTGGCCAGCCTACCTGCGGGGGACCTGCCATGACAGTTGGCTATGTCCCGACCAAAAAGGGGACGCTTCAGATGACAAGTGCAAGCCGACTTTCTCCTAAGATGCACCTGGCATTGCGATGCCTTATAAGTTACTTCTTCCGCATTGAGAACGTAGTCTTTGTTAGGTTGGCCAAGAGTATCCATGAGCTACCTCCGGTGGCTTACGCTGACAGTCGCACATTGGTCCATTATGACAACGATGTGGACCCAGTTTTCCATTGCAATCAAGAAGAAGGCGCTGCCCTGAATATTCATGATATAACTGGACCAGCACATTCGAGGATCATCCAGTGCCTAAAGTCCACTAAGCCTCAAGCGGGCTTTGAGCAAGATGTGACAAAGTTTGAAGAAATGGCGGGCGCGCTGACACAAGACGAAAACGCCAGAGAAGTCCCAGAAGCCGAAGCACCGCAGGAGGACGAGCGGCTTCCAACTCTATGCGAGGAATCGGAGGCGGACCTTGAGGCACATATCATGGAAGTGTGGCACACAGAACTTCATGATGAAAGGGAACTATTTGGGGCAACTCCAGTATGCGACCTTTGCACTGTACCCGCACATATGATTACCGACAACCGTGCGCTGGTCACTGTAGCTGAAGCACAGCGGTGGCACCTGCCTAAGTGGGGACACCCGCGCGACTCCAACATCGAGGAGACGTATCATGTCCCACTATGCTCCACGGCCGAGGACCACAGTTACGGGTTGGACTCAGACGAAAACGGACAATAGGTATAATTCTGCTTCACGGCAGAAATGCCAAAGGTAGTCCTATCCGAACAACAACGCAGGATATTACATGCCGACCGTGCAACATCATGCGAGTACATGTTACCGCCGCTGCAAAACGAGCTACGGTCGTCAAGGAAGACGACCTCCTCGCGAAGGCCGACGTCCAGGCGAAGCCCGAGACAGTATCAAAAAGGCTCTTATACATACACTGAACTCAAGACATGGTTCGACAACAAGTGTTTCAATGTGCAAGATATATCTAAAGCGTCAAACATCATGACTTCGAGGCATGTGCACACGTGCAAGTTCGTGAAGAACGAGAAGAGCGGGATGGAGCGTGCCATCAGTATGCGCCTGGTGCTCCGGGGCTTCATGGACCTCGAAGCTTTCGACGTGGAAGCCTTCTCAGGGACAGCACGGCGGTCAAGCCAGATCTTACTCGCAAGCGCAGCAGCGTGCAAGAAGCAATGGATCATTGCTTCCCTCGACATCGACATGGCCGTCCTGAGTGGGTTGACCTGCCAGGAACTTGCTGAGGCAGCTGGTGAGAAAGAACGCGTGGTGCGCTGTACTGGATCTGCCACGGTGCTTCGGCCCCTCCCAGGATTCGAGCACTACGGCGAGTCGAAGCACCGCCTGCAGTTCCTCGGGGCAGGCACCGGCACCAAGGATGCACCCAGAGCTTTCTCATTAAAGCTCAGAAGAACCACGGGAGGCATCGGTCTCATACCCACGTCCTGCGACGAGGAGTTCGAGACGAGCAGTAACCTGCTCTCTGCCAAACATGTTGATGATATCAATATGGCCGGCACTGAGGACACCATTGACGAGCGCGCCAAGTGCGTCGAAGACACTTGTGGCAAGTGCAAGCTCAAGAAACATACATATACCAATGGTGCAGTGAGGTATACCAAGGATGAGGACGTCAATGTCGCAATGGACCAATATGAATACATCAAACAGTTCCGTCCTATACAACATCCTGAACTCACCAGCGCCGACGCTGACGCCAAGGCATCCAAGATGGTTGCAGACATGTTCGTCAGCCTCAAAGGCGCGTTGGCTTACGCATTAAGCACCCAAGCGTGGTTGATGGTATATGTGGGCTCTTTACGACGTGTCCAAGAACCGACCAATACACAAGTGCGACGACTGAACGCGATCACCAGGAAGTTGCAGGCATGCCCTAAGAAGATCCAACGGGGGAAGTCGACTTGCACAGCGACTCAGGCTATCGACGCCTGAGTGGAGATGCCGATGACGAAGTCAAAGGCTATGGTATTCGCGGGGCAAACCTGCTACGGCGTGGAACCACGCCATCCGGTAAGCCTGTCGTCCACGTAATGGATGCGCACTGCAAATCTCACTGCTTGCAGGCCCGCCCAAGCTATGCAGCAAGGACGCTAGCAGCAGCCCGCAATTAGGAGGATTGCTACCCCGCGATCGTGACTCTGTGCGAGCTCCATGCAGGGCCGCTGACTCCTACTCAGTTGAAAGACATACTTGAGTTGGGCGGCCTGAGCATCAAGGTCACCTTGGCCATAGATGCTGAACGTGTTTTGAGTCCTTGTCAAACAAAGACTTGAAGAAACCGACTGAGTGTGCCCTTCTAGGACACATCAGTTGGATACGACAGATGATGGAGCGAGGAATCGTGCGTAGTATTCAGTGGTGTGACACTCGCGACATGACCGCGGATGGTCACACAAAAGGGGAGCATCGACAGAGATATGCTCCTACAGGTCATGGGAGGTGTGCGATCCTTCAGGCATGACTTAGAGCGTCATACTCCTTATCGGTCTGGCCAGACATCCTGGCCTGCGGCCGCGTGAAGAATAATCGCTTGCACAGTAACGTGCAGGCAAGGCAACTTGCGTGCGGGCCCGCCTTCCTTACGGCCCCGTCCTTTTGTTACCTTTTGTGCATGGTAGCTGCCGTATCTGCTGCGTAGAAACGGCGGACTCACGCTTCGTCTCCCTCCCCCCCGACTCTAGAGTGAGCTGGGACACAAGCGAGAGGTAACGATCGTGTGTCCGCGGCCGTTTGTGCTCAAGCGGCCGGCCGCCTAGATCTGATTACACCTCAGTGCGAGGTGTACCATTTGCCATCGAGACCGAAAACATCCTTCGCTTGAGATGGCCCGTCGCTCCCGCGACGATCTCCTGCGACTGGGACTATCTTTACTACGATACAACAGAACAGGAGCCGTGCTTCGCCTAAGGCGTAGCTTCTGGGCGGGCCTACCGGCCCGCTTCAAACTCGCGGCCCCTCCCGTCCAGGTCGAAGGGGGGGAAGGGCAGGGGCAAACCCCTCCCCGAAGGGGAAGAGGGGCTCATGGAAAAGGAAAGAAAGTCAACGTTCGACCGCCTGTCGCCCAAAGGGCTGGTGGGATTTTCGCAGCAGCAGCAGCAGCACAGCGTCGACCTCTCAGTGTTGCATGAGTCTTGGGGCACTTAACTTCGTGCCAGAGGCACGGTGGCGGGTTTCAGGACAGGGATGAATTTGGCCCCGCTGCATCTTGGTCAGTGTGGTCTGAACCTTGGCCCGCTTTCTGGCAGCACCTGCAGCAACGATCGGGCATTTCATGGGGTTTCGCGCCCACTCCCAGCCGGGGGTCCTCAGGTTCGATTGCAGTTATCTCACCCGGTGCCAGCGCGGACCCCGCATGCAGGTGCCCGTCGACGTCTGTTCCCCCAAACTGGCCCTGCTGCTCTGTGAGCATACGGCTTGAAACCGTAAGAAGATGAAAAATGCCAGCGCAGCCCCCGCATTGTCAGGTGAACCAAGGTTGCAGGGAACTGTTGGCGGGGCAGCGAGTCACCAGGCGACTAGTCCCCTTATGCCCAGTGTCACCTCCTCGTCTTGGCGGCATGACGCATGACCGCATGAGAAGTTGGTACTAAACAGTGGTCCTCCTCCTCCTGCTCCTCCCTCTTCTTCTTCGTTTTCTTCCCGTCCTCCTCCTTCTCCTCGTGTGCCTTTCGGTCCTCCTCTTCCACTTCGTCTTCATCATCAGCATCCTCCTCCTCCTCCTCCTCATCATCATCATCATCATCACCATCACCATCAGTAGCAGCAGCGGCATCAACACCACGACCACCATCAGCATCCTCCTCCGCCTCCTCCTCCGGTTCCTCCTCTGACTCGTCATCCGGCTCCTCCTCCGGCTCGGGCTCCTCGGCTCCGGTTCCAGCTTCGGTTCCGGCTCTGGCTTCTCCTCCTCCTCCTCCTCCTCGTCCTCTTCCTTCTCCTCCTCTTCTTCCTCCTCCTCCTCCTCCTCCCCCTCCTCCTCCTCTCCTCCTCCTCCTCCTCCTCCTCCTTCCTCCTCCTCCTCTCCTCCTCCTCCTCCTCCTCTCCCTCCTCCTCCTCCTCCTCCTCATCATCCTCCTCCTCCTCCTCCTCCTCCTCCTCCTCCTCCTCCTCCTCCTCCTCCCCCGCGGGGCGCCGGCGACCCCAGGGACTGGCCTGCGAGGCTCCTCTCTCTGTGCACGCGCTGCGCCCGATGGCACGTGCGCGACGCAGGAGAATTCGGCGGTGTGCTTCCACCGAAGGAAGATAATCCCGATCTCGGTTATGGTGGTATGTATGTAGTACTCGGGGTTCCTAGGTGGCCGAAAGATTACCACCAACACCAAAATCTAGGATCATCCCCCTCCCGTGGAGGCAACCCCTGGTGTTGGTGTTGGTGCCCACTTCCACGCGTCCAAAGAACGGGTTCGTCTTCACTTCTGACGTTCCAGTTTATTCTAGCATTGATCACCAGAAGGAGTTTCGAACGCCAAAAAAGCACCGAAACGCAAGGGTTTTCACGTGTCGAGCCCTGGGAGACACTCGTCCGACACTGTTTCGACACTCGTTCGACACTTTTCCGGGTGTTCGAAATTATTTCTGGGAGCAGCATAAGTCGTCACCGACATTGGCGCGTGAGTTGCCTGCGTAAGGTCATGCGTAAGCGCCCTCGTTTCGAAGGAAGTGTGACGCGCTGGCGGCACCCGTTTCTGAGCGTCGCTCACGGAAGTGTCGGACCTTTCGCCAAAGTGACCTCGCGGAGCAGGGCAGTGTGAGACATTGGCTTGGCATCGCTCGGACGTGTGCATTTCACCACCTAACAGCGAAGACTGATAGGTTTCTAATGGTCTCAAAAGAAAGCATCATGACTCCCCAGGGGGGTCTGGGCAGGATCCGGGGAGAATCCGCGGAAGTCGTTTTAAGCAAACAGTTACACACTTCGTGGTCTTCGAGGTCCCAGAACTCCACTCCCGGGCCACATTCTGAATGCCCAGAGCCAACTGTATGCCACTTCGTGCTCTTCGAGTTCCCAGAACTCCATTCCCGGGCCACATTTTGAATGCCCGGAGCCAACTGTAGGCCACTTCGTGGTCTTCGAGTTCCCAGAACTCCATTCCTGGGCATGATTTTGAATGCCCGGAGCCAACTGTAGGCCACTTCGTGGTCTTCGAGTTCCCAGAACTCCATTCCTGGGCATGATTTTGAATGCCCGGAGCCAACTGCAGGCCACTTCGTGTTCTTCGAGTTCCCAGAACTCCATTCCCGGGCCACATTTTGAATGCTGAGGCAGGCTGAGGCTGAGGCTGAGGCAGGCTGAGGCTGAGGCAGGCTGAGGCTGAGGCCGAGGCTGAAGGCAGACTGAGGCTGAGGCTGAAGCAGCTGAGGCTGAGGCTGCAGGCTGAGGCTGAAGCAGGCTGATGCTGAGGCAGGCTGAGGCTGAGGCTGAGGCTGATGCAGGCTGAGGCTGAGGCAGGCTGAGGCTGAGGCCGAGGCTGAAGGCAGACTGAGGCTGAGGCTGAAGCAGGCTGAGGCTGAGGCTGAGGCAGGCTGAGGCTGAGGCTGAGGCAGGCTGATGCTGAGGCAGGCTGAGGCTGAGGCTGAGGCTGATGCAGGCTGAGGCTGAGGCAGGCTGAGGCTGAGGCCGAGGCTGAAGGACTGAGGCTGAGGCTGAGGCTGAGGCTGAAGGCAGACTGAGGCTGAGGCTGAGGCAGGCTGAGGCTGAGGCTGAGGCTGAGGCAGGCTGAGGCTGAGGCTGAGGCTGATGCAGGCTGAGGCTGAGGCAGGCTGAGGCTGAGGCGAGGCTGAAGGCAGGCTGAGGCTGAGGCTGAAGCAGGCTGAGGCTGAGGCTGAGGCAGGCTGAGGCTGAGGCTGAGGCAGGCTGAGGCTGAGGCTGAGGCAGGCTGAGGCTGAGGCTGAGGCTGATGCAGGCTGAGGGCTGAGGCAGGCTGAGGCTGAGGCCGAGGCTGAGGCAGACTGAGGCTGAGGCTGAAGCAGGCTGTGGCTGAGGCAGAGGCAGGCTGAGGCTGAGGCTGAGGCTGAGGCAGGCTGATGCTGAGGCAGGCTGAGGCTGAGGCTGAGGCTGATGCAGGCTGAGGCTGAGGCAGGCTGAGGCTGAGGCCGAGGCTGAAGGCAGACTGAGGCTGAGGCTGAAGCAGGCTGAGGCTGAGGCTGAGGCAGGCTGAGGCTGAGGCTGAGGCAGGCTGATGCTGAGGCAGGCTGAGGCTGAGGCTGAGGCTGATGCAGGCTGAGGCTGAGGCAGGCTGAGGCTGAGGCCGAGGCTGAAGGCAGACTGAGGCTGAGGCTGAAGCAGGCTGAGGCTGAGGCTGAGGCAGGCTGAGGCTGAGGCTGAGGCAGGCTGAGGCTGAGGCAGGCTGGGGCTGAGGCTGTGACTGCGACTGCCGTTGTCACTGCGACTGTCATCGCGACTGCGACTGCGACTGCGAGAACAGCAGAATTCTACAACTGGATTCTCATCTGAATCTTAAGGGGAATGCTTCCATATATGCTCCTACACATCGCTGTTAGGTTGCTTTGCCGGGATAATTTTCTCGGCGAGATCCATCGAGGACCATCCTGGACCATCGAGCAAAACAAAAAGAACACGCACGAAACCAACAAATGCACGGGAAATGGACGTCCGAGCGACCGCAAGTTGAGGGTTTAAGCTCGGTCCCTGGACGCCTCCCGGGGTCCAGGCGCAGCAGTTTTTCCCGCGCTGTATCCAGCCGTGGCGACGGAGGGGCCCCCGAGGGCCAACTGACTACCAGTGTCTCAAGCGGCCCTCCTCCTCCTCCTCCTCTTCCTCCTCCTCCTTCTCCTCCTCCTCCCTTCCTCCTTCTCTTCCTCTTCCTCCTCCTCCTCCTCCTCCTCCTCCTCCTCCTCCTCTGAGCCTCTGGTGCGGGCCCACCAGGGCACCCCTGTCGCTGAGCGCGATGCGATAGCAGCGGCTTGTGCGCCTTGGATCTGCGCCACCGGCGCTCCCCCCTGAGGCCGCGCACCAAAGGTCACCCTTGCCTGGGGTCACTCCTGCGTGTAGCCCATACAGCCGGGGCCCTGAAGAAGGAACCCTTTTCGTTGGGGAGGGGTTCCGTGTTCCTTGATTGTTTGACAGCTTGCCTCAGGTTTTCCCTAGGTTTTCGATGGGGAATCGAAGATTAACTCATTGAAAAAAGGGGCCTCGTTCCTTATTTAGGGTTCCTTAGGTCAAGGCCCCGACTGTATGCGCGCCCAGCCTTCGAGCGGCCAGCACGCCACCGCCGTCGCCAGGGCCGACCCCAGCTGTTACACAATGGGCTCCGCGCGCGCGCGCCGTGCGCGCCCGACCTTCGAGCGGCTGGCACGCGGCCGCCGCCACCAGGACTGACCCGAAAGCACCATCGCAGTCGTCCTCGTCGTCGTCGTCGTCGTCGTCGTCGTCGTCGTCGTCGTCGTCTTCGTCGACGTCGTCGTCGTCGTCGTCGTCATCGTCATCGTCATCAACGTCACCGTCACCGTCAACGGCACCGTCACTGGCACCGGCACCGTCACCAGCACCGGCACCGACACGAGCACCGCTCAAAGAGGAACAGAACGGCATGCGTGGAAGTGCTCGGAGCCCCGCGCGGATTTCCCGGATCTGCTCCAGAACCCTGTGGCGGCGCCTCGGGCGCCGTCCCTGGCGCGCGCCGCGCGCCAGGGAGGAGGGGTCCGCGCAGATCCAAGAAATCCGCGCGGACCCCTAAGAGCTTACGTTTATGTCGTTTTGTTCTCCCTCTAAACGTGTGTCATGTAAGTGCACACCTGGCCTCCGGGCAACCGGCACGTCGCCGCCGTCACCAGGGCTGACCCAGCTACATCACGGGCAGTCATCCTCATCGACGTCGCAGTCATCGTTCAGGAGGGAAAAAAACACACGGACACAATTCATCGACGATCCCCCAGGAAATATGGGAAAATATGGGAATTGGGCTGGAAGACAAAACCCAGAAAATATATGAAAATATAGGGAATCCTGTTATTTGTGCGTATTTATTTGTGTGTCCCAGGGCCCCTTCAATCGTCACCGTCACCGTAGCCGTGTCATGCAAGTTCGCATGTGGCCGTCAGGCAACCAGCACGCCACTGCCGTTACCCAGAGGGCCCAGCCACAGTGGGCTCGCGGTCTGATCAGCGTCGCTCGCCGCCATCATCAACGTCACCGTGCTCCTCTTCTTGCAGGTTGGGCCGATACCCTGCAAGTACACACCCGCATCATCATCTTCATCGTCATCAGCATCATCAGCAGCAGCATCATCGTCATCATCATCATCAGTATCATCATCAGCAGCATCATCGTCGTCGTCATCATCGTCATCGTCATCAGCATCATTGTCATCATCGTCTTCATCGTCATCGTCATCGTCG